AGCGACAATCAGAATGTGTTGAGGACAATTCAGCAGCGGATGGAGTTATTGGAAAAGTAAATGATGATAATGATGACACATATAAAGCTGATGCTTTTGTTGTTTCACTCGAAACTGAAGCTAGTGTAGGAGATGGATTTTCACTGGACGCCATCCAAGGTGGTGCAACAGCAGAAACTGAAAGAGATACCAATTGTCTAGTGTTGGAAAATAATGCTTTTGGTTCTTCAATCGAAATGGCAAGAGATATGGATGGAAGAGTGAAACTAATGACCAGATCTGTGATGGTATAGTCGGTGAATTATCAGCACATCTAGTGCTCAGAAAATGTTAGTTGGCAAGCTGCTACTTTTCATGAAGTGCAACATCCAATGCAGCATGGTTCTTATGGTGACAGCACGGTTGATCCAGAAATTTCTCTCATCGATGCACATGATCGTGAGGTAAGTCTTCTATGACTGACCTTTTTAGTTCTGTACTTGTACGTTTGAGTTTATGAGGAAGCATGTCCTATGTTCTTGAATTATTTTGTTTGTTGTATATTTTTTTTTTAACTTGGTTGCTGTTTCCACGGTAAGTGTTCTTGAGGGATAACTTTTAGACGTCATTGGTCTTGCATTTGACTTGATATTGAATAACACATAGAGTAGTTTTCTTTTGAACTTGTTTTCTGATTTTTACAATTTTTTCTTGTGTTCTTTATACATTTAATAAGTGGCAATTAATTGCATCAGATTGAATTTATAGGGAGCATGTCCTAGTTTATTAGTGCTTGTTGCAGAATGTATCACCCTTTTAGAGTGATGTAAAGTTCCTGGCAAATAGCAGTTGTTTAGTGAAATTTTTATGTCGCGTAAAGGAAATGACTTTGGAGTTTGTACTGTCAGGAAAATAAAGAGAAGTACCTTTTAAGACGATGACCATGAAAGAAGATGAATATCTCTAATCACAGGATTACGCATACTTTGACAACATTTTTCATTTTCAAATGGACCAACTTTTAAGGTTCCTTTACTTTTTTTTAGGTTAGGATAGAAGTTCAGAAATTTTCCTGCTTATAATTGCTAAACCTGTTTTTGGAATGGTTTGGGACTTTTGATAATGCAGTGTGAAAGTTCGCTCTGCTGTTGATTATGCAACTAAATTTCATTTTGAAAACTGGGGAGAATGTGTCTTTCACTACATGAGATGAAGTCAAAGGACATTCTTGTCACTCAATAACCATTTTCTCCTTGTCTTCTATGGCTTTCATTTTTGGGGGCAGTGGGATAATATAAGGTTAGGCAGCTGGGTAAGCATGTATAAAACGGGAAATTGTTGTAGGTAGCAAATAAGCATACATCAGTATTTCTACCTCTTTTCAGTTTTTATGACTCTTTTCTTTCTGGACTTGATCAATGCTGAAACATGTAATTTGTGAAATTTTTCGTCCATTGCTTTGATCTCAGGTAGAGAGATAAAGGGAGAAGGAATTCATTTTAACCCCTTGTATAGATTGTATATCTTCTTAGATGCACCAAGTATATGTCACTTCTGCATATTTACTTATTGCAGTTTACCTACCTCAATTTGTGGTTTCCTTACAATATTTTTTTGGGAGAAAAGGAATGCTTTGATTCTGATAGTTGTTTTATGGTCAGAGAAATTAAGCTGAAACCTTCCATCAATTTTGAAGGCGATTTTACGGTTTCTTTCTCTCCACTTTGACTGTTTATAATACCTTTTATTGATGCAGGACTTAAATTATTCGGCTACTGCTAATGACACAGGTTTTCTTCTTTCTTTTTGCTCTGCTGCTAATATTAGTATTTCTGCCCAAGCCACACTTATAAAGTAGTGTATTGCAAAACAGCTTGAGGAGAAGGCTTAGGAGATGGAAAAAGCCTCACAAGGCTTGGCTTAGAAAACTTTGATGCATGTGATGTATGCTTAAAAGTTTAAAAGGTCAAAAGGATTTTTCAAAATAGCAATTCTTATTCAAGTATACAACAAAAGTGCTTTACGTGTGTCAACAACCATCTGACAACTTGAATTGTTAGGAACAGCTTGGCTCTTATTTGATAGGAAACCCGTGTGACCTTTTTATAATTGTATATATCCTTGGCTTGATGCATTGTTGCCGTTGTTGTTCAGAGTTTCTTAATTTTGATGATGATGAAGTAGCTGAAGTAACTGATGACTATACACCGAATGCTGAAGAAATTCGTTTTATCGAGAACAGTGGGTGGTCTACCCGTACGAGGTAGTTATTTTACTGTGTTAAAACTTCTCTGGATGCTGTGTTAAAATTTATCTATTTTTACCTCTGGTGCAAATTTCTAGGTGTATGACTGAAAAGGAACTCTCTCTTTATTGCTTGAATAACTTGGCAAGAGGTTGCTGCTTTCTTGCAGGGCTTCATTACAATGGCGAATGGGTTCTCTTGTATGGGTCATGTGCATTGCATGATGATCATTGCTTGAGAGTTGATTTCTTTTTATATGTCTCTGTATCTTCATATCCTAGTTATCCGAAATGCTCACCTTTTGAAGGTGTTTTGTCGTTACTGTTGATTATGTGGAACTGCTTTTGTCATTGCACATTTGTTATATGTAGATAGCTGGGTGGTTAATGTGATAATTTCACTAGTTTTGAGCTTACTATTAAATTGGCATGTTGGATGTTGATTTCTATGTCAAATGAGGTGATTTTCATTTAAGACGTCATGCCATTTCATCTAGGTGGTCCATTTTGATGTTAGTTATGGAATTACCTAACTGTTATGCTTGAGAAGTGGATGGAATTAGCTAACATTTTATGATGAACTTTCAATTTCTTAGGGACTATCTTGTCCATTTAATGTTCTTTTTTTATTCTTCTGTGTGTCTTTCATTTGTTTGCATTTGAGGGGAAAGGGGTTGGTGATGATGAAGCTGCCTGTTTGTTTGTACATTGGGATGCTTGGACAGGTTTTACATGCTAAGTCATGCATCTTTGGCTTGGCTGTGATAATGCCATGTTGTGAACTAGGATGTTGGTTTCTTCTTCATGATCTGTTCTGGATTTCATTGCTATATTAGGCTTTTAGCATCACAATCTTGACTATTAGAAACACCAAATAAGTGTGACCGTTCAGCTTAATAGTTTTTCTGATTTCTTGTTTATAGAGGCTGTTGCCAAGTATCTCCAAACAGTGTTTGTAAAAGAGGCGAATGCGGTAAGAAGGCTTTTCCCATGGACAATCTGTTGATTGGTAAAACCCGCAAGGAGGCGTCAAGGATGTTTTTTGAGACTTTGGTATGTTAGTTGTTTGTTTGATGCTTAGTTTAAAATATTTTATTGCATTCAAACTTCACTACTTTATTATACCCTTTTTTTTCAATTTTGTTTTATTGACACAGAATTATGGGAACAATTGAATCGCTTTAGTCTATTATTCAAGTATTCAGTTAGACATATGTTGTTCTCTGAGCTTTACTCAGCCTGACTCGATTCTCCTGCAAATGATGCATGTCATTTATCCAAATTCACAACATAAATAACCACAACTAAAACTAAATAAAAAAAATCTTTTGTTGTTGGCTGCATCTACAGAGGTTTATGTATATACATGTATTTGCTATTTGATACATGGTGCTGTCTTTGTGCATGACGTTTCTTCTATGCCAGCCTTCTTAGGACTTTCTTTCCAATCCACCGACCTTGTAACTAAACAGCAATTTTCTTGCTTCTCTCGTACTGCATTTAAAGCTTAATAGCTTTTTCTTTTTTTGTTCTGATTTTGCCATGTTTTCTAACATGTTCATCGTCTGAACATTTTTCTTTTTTTTTTTTTTGGGTTACTAAAATCCTTGCAGGTTCTTAAAACAAGAGATTACATCCATGTAGAACAGGAGCGACCCTTTGGTAACGTTACCTTAAAGCCTCGGACAAAGCTTTTTAAATCAGACTACTGAGATCCGAAATTCTAGATATCGGAGACTGGAATAATAGATGAAAAGGAGGATATATGTACTTTCGTAGGCAGCGGGCAGCTTAATTTGATTTGATGGGGGTTTATTCTTACTTCATTCTTTTCATGTTTAAAAAGATGTAGTAGTTTATAGTTTAGGTAGTCCTAACAGTTGGGGCTTGTAGAACATCAGTGCAAGAGGGACAACAGCAATTAGGTGTATATATCATCATGTAAAATTAGTCTTCCTGCTAATTATATATGTTATGCCAATGGAAATTCCGTTTTTGCTCTTCCTGTCTTCTGTGCCTGGAAATTGTGTTTAGCATTCAAATCACATCATATTCAGGGCTTCTGCTATTTCGCTGTATCTGTTTTGATCGATCACTTGCTTGAGGCTGGGTTGTGGTAAGAGGGTTCCACAGTTGATTGCTAGATATGGCGGAATCAAGACCTTACGGTGAGGGGGTAAATTCCGACAACATGTCTCTCTCTTTTCTAAGTTTAATAAGCTTTCGAGTACATATTATACTTGAATTTAGAAGTGAAAAATGATCTATTGTGGATGGTTTCCAGTCTCTGGTCCAAGCAGAATTGTTATCTTCATGTGTAATGGCAGAATTGTTATCTTCGTTTGGATTGCCATTTTTCAAAGAAAAATTGTTACGTTTTTTGTGACCACATGTTTCAATCATCTTTTTATCTAGTTATAGTAATTTTTTTACAAAAAATTCAGAAAAATGCAATCCAAACAAGGGAGTCAAAAGGATTGCATCGTAGTTGGAGATTATTGCAGGTTGAGCAAATATCAGTAAAGATTACAACCAAAGAGCAATATAACATCAGCAAGAATTTGGTGTAAATGGTAAGACAAATCAAGAGGAAGAAAAAAAAAAACCTACATTAACAACCACCTCGCTTTGTGAGTTCAATGAGGCGCACCATTCTCGGTGATATAAATAGCAGTATTATTGTGTCTGCTCGCCATGTAATTGAGAAGTTTCCATATGCCCAAGGAACAACATATAGCCATGGTGATGCTGTACGTACAAGGATATTGTCCAAAACATGTTGTTGCTTGTATATATGTCCATCCAAAACAAGTAAAGAATGAAAAAAAAAAAGAAGTGTAGCAGAAATATCCCATGCCTTCTCACCAATCACTTCGCCTCCTTCCCATTCAGCTATTAGCCCAAAAAAAACAGAAAAGAATTATGGCCGCGAGGGAATACAAGGGGTAATAAATAAATAGCATTTTGAGACATTAACTTGTGTTACACATGCATCTCACCAATTCTTTCCATCCCCTGGACTCTATAGAAGACATCGTTGTCTTCACTGTTGGTCTCTGCATCAACAATAAACCTTGTGGTATAATGGTTTAAACCAACAAAGTCCAGTGAATTTCTAAGCAGCTCTTTATCCTTCTGAGAAAATTCTGGAAGCTTTTCTCCAAGTCTTTCTCGCATTGTTTCTGGATAATCTCCATAAAATATAGGATCCAAGTACCTAACAAAGATGTTTAGAAATAATCGAAATTGACTATTAATCTCATCCAGTTTGCATTTTGCAAAGCAAGTTTGCTGGCAGGATCGTATACTTCCTCCCTCTCTGACAACGCCTCTGCCCATTCACAATCCAACGCTATGCCTATTTGTCCTCCTTGCTTGTCCTGTGAGAAAAATTAGTGACATGGCCATTATATTTATAACTGACAATAACGTAATGTTATGACTTTGAAACTGATTCTACTGCCAACTTTAACATTGGAAGATATTCACAAGAAAGGAGAATGCAGACATCAGTGTCAAACTTCTTGTGATATGAGTACTTCGAAAAATGATCACCCTGTCGTGAAGTATGGAATGCTACCCTTAGCCAGGTCTCAAGAAACTGCAAATCCATGCCTTGAATTTGTTTCTGTATATGGAGACAGCTTCAGCATGAGCCAATAGCTGGTGATGTGCTGCCAATAATGGCTCAGATAAAGAATGATCATGCCTTCCTGGTGCATTTATGCCAGTACAATATCCATTAATTGCAGTTTGACGTGGCTCATTGATGGTAATCCACTTCTTGACTCTGTCGCTGAATCTTGTAAAGCAAGTTTCTGCATAGATGGCAAAATATTTTCTGCCCAAAAAGTGAAATCACATTGTTCAATATGCTAGAAGATGAATCCTCAAAGCAACCGGGGATTTTATTCAGTGAATATGTACAGGATAGAAAAGGAAAGTCTGGGCAGAACAAGAATGTTTCCCTTTGTAACCTGATACATCATTTACTCAACAAATGGAGGTACACTTTTCATTCTGAGGTTATATTTCTGTTCCACCTTTGCCTTTCTACACCTTTTGGTTACAACTAACAAGAGCATCATGATGTATAAAAACATGTACAATTCTCCTAAGAATATTTATTTAAAAAGAAAAAGAGAAAAAAATTTCTATTTAGAAGCAGACACTTCTTGAAATATACTTGTTCTAAATATTTGAAAATTTAAATAAAATGGAAAGTAAAAGGAAGCAAAATTCTTTTATTTTCCACTTCTTGTTTTGAAACATGACATGGTATACCCTTTGCTGAAGGCCAAAAAAACTTAAAAGAAAAGAAAAGAGCTAAAACTAAGAGATCTTCTTTTCAGCGTTTATATCTTCGAATTAGTTGGGTTCTCCAATAGGGAATAGAAAACTGAGAGCATAATACTATGGAAATAGAAAACTGAGAACATACCCTTGCTGATAAAAGCATTAATTAGATTGTCATAGTGCATTATCCCTTCATCATTGACTATGGATCCCAGACCATCTGCAGTGACAAGGAAGACAAAGAAACCCAAGATAATGGTACCAATTAAGATGCAGTTCAAGGAGAGACAAGGAGATCTTAGCATTTGAGAAAACTTTTTAGGAATATCTGAAGGGTAGAGACAGTGATTGAGGTAAAACTCTTCATGTCCTAGCAAGCATTATCTTCAGTAGAGTTGATGAAGCATGGAAGAGGAACCAATCTAGAGTTTGGAAAGGACAATGGTGAAACCTAACATCTTCTCAAAAGGATACAAGTTGGAAGCAAAAGAGATAGATGGTCAGCATTCATGACCTTATAATCTACTATGCTTCAGTGTATCTTACATAATATGCCAAGAGTAAGTGAATGTGGAAGACTGATAGTGGTAGGTGATGTAGAATATTCCTTCAGTTATTTTTGTTTTTTGATGAATTGATCTTTTCATTGTCTAATTATCCTTTCCAACTAACACAGAAAATCACATATCCTTGGTGTTATATATAAAGAAAGCATCAAGAAGAACATAGAGCAGCACCCTGGTCATTCCAGAATCAACAAGCATTTATGCATAATGAAACCTACTCTAGCCCCTGCAGTGGTTGAGATTTACCAGGAAAGATTCTTGTCCATGATATGGAAAAGCGATATGCCTTAAAACCCAGCTTGGTTATGAGTTCAATATCTTCCTGATATCAGACAAATTAATCAAATTTCATGACTAAAAGCTGTGCACTTTGGCATCCATGCTTCATTAGACACTAAAAAAAAAGTTCGAAAGCAATAAAAGGGAAATAAAAAAAAAAAAAAAAAAAACAGATGCATTGTAACGGTGATATTGGTCGGCACCAACATCTCCATTGCTTCCATCACAAATATTGCCTAAGCAGCAGGATAAACTGAAGAGGTGAATTTCATTTTTCCTTCCAGTTACAATAATAACAATAACAAGGGATCATAGTAATAATTAAAAAACCTGGTGTATGGGAAAAATCATCCCAGATGCTAGGACCCCTACCTCCCTCATTGCTCCCTCCTTCCACCTATTCATCAATCAAAATAAAAATAATAATAAAAAAAACTTTCTTTTCAGTAACCTTCTTTCTTGTAAGTCAATACTACTGCTTACAGAAAACCAACATGCATGAGAAAATGCCGGTGAAATTCTTTTCTCTGCTGGTCTGAGATGAACTCGAGACAATTTTTGTACAAGTTACTTAAAGCCCAGTTGCAGAAAACCTCAAGAATTCAGTGAATAGAACAAGAAATCTAATAAGAGTTGGGACAGGGCTACGTTAAGGAGGGTGACCTGGTAAGCGGAAGTTGCAATGCCGAAGACGAAGACTGGAGGGAAATCAGAAGAAGAGAGGAAAGGCTGTTTGGACTGGTAAATAGTCTTCCGTTCGTCTTCTATCGCTCTTTTTCTTCTCTAATTCAACACCTCTGATTAAACTAGTAATTGCAATAGCAGCAGGAGTGATTTTGTTTGGTTTGCTGCTGCATGTGCATTTTCATTGTTCTCCATTTTCCACTTCCACAGTATTGTTAGTCATTTCGTCCGAGTCAAAATCGGAATGGAGGATTGGTACGATGCCAATCTCCAAATCGTGGATAATCTTATATTCGTGGCGACGCGCTCTCTTACTCATTTTATTTGAATCCGTGATGCATGAAATTTGTTAAAATATTCGAATCTACCTGGAGTAATATTATTTTAAATTGTGTCTTTTATAGTATTTTTTATTTTTAGTAATTTTTAATACTTTTAAAAAACTTTTGTGTACTTTAAAGTCATCTAATATCTAATCGATGTGTCACGACAGATGTGAAATAATTGCAATTGCAATGTGATCTCGACTCGCGATGACGAACCATGTTTCACACACAGAATCACATAATAGACTCTCTACGATACAAAAGAATATTTCACACACAGAATCACATAATAAACTCTCTACGATACAAAAGAGTAGAGAGACGGGAAGGAGGGCTGGGTCAATCAATACCCATAGTCCAAAATATATTCCTCACTCAGTTGCTACTTATCATTTGGGCGCACCTCTTATGTTATGTTAGACGACCCAATCCAATCTATATCGGACCTTCTCCTCCCTGCTTGCAAAGCAGAAAGGTGCTATTGATTTAAGATTGTCTGCATAAGAATCTTGAAAGCCACTCAATTCACAGCTGAATTCTATGTTGGACTAGGTGAAGCTAGTGTGAGTTGGTGTATATAAACAAAATTCACTCTTACAATAAGTGATATTAGTGTCCGAAACAGGTTGGTTGCCTCGAAGCTTATTTGGGTCAAGGTTTCGAGTGGTACATGGATCAGAGTGGTCTGAATCTAAATTTGATACATTCCACACTCTTCGCACTCTCAATTGTATAGGTTTTGAATCTGAATTCGACAGTGACACTGCAGAGAAAATTCTAAAAAAGTCATGAATTCTACTCATAGTAGTTTCTTAAGATGATCAGTTCATATATTCTCAAAAATCCGTATTCATGTGTGGCATCCATCATCTGAAATTGTATCTCCTCAAAAGGAATCAAACCAGCTTTTTGCTTTAGATCCTTAAGTAATAAACCCTCTTCCCCTTAGAATGGTGAAGTGATGCATTCAAAATAGTAATTCTCCTGTTCTTGACAATATTATGCTGGATTGGTCCTCAGTGTCGGCTATATCCTAGTTTCTGTAAGTGTACAGAAGCATGTTTAAATGCCAATCAGTACCCTTACTTTCCTTTTTGCGATGGCTAAATCCAGGTTTCATGGTACAAAAATTGAGCAAGATGTTTTCAACTGACTGACTTTATGTTTCTTTTCGTGCATTGCTAAATCTAATTTGTCTCTAGCAAAGTCTTGGACCGATTGCTCAGACATCTCATGCTAAGAGTTGCAGGTTGGTTGCTGTGTTGATACGGTTACAGGTTGCTGGATAGCAACACCCCGCTGGAGAAAACATTTTCATTTACCCAACGGGACATAGCTTCTTTCTTGACTTCATCTCTTCTCAACTTTCCTGTTGTTGTCATTGGAAATGGAGTCCTCCACAAAATGAAGTTTCTGGGAATTTTAAATCTGCGGAAGGAGATAACAAAAATGGTGTTAAAGGGCTGACGTTTTGCCTTAGCACATATGAACGATGCAATTAGAGGGGGAGAAAACGCATTAAGCAACAGCAATTACCCTGTCAAGTTCTTATCTTTACAAAACTGCTGTAGGATTTCTTTGGATAAGCAGTGATCTTTGTCATTGCAGGGATTGAATTCGTCCCATTGCCAGTTATCTTTTAGTCGAATACATGCTACTACCATCTCCGTCAAGCGAGAGTCCGGGAGCCCAACAACAATGACTGTGGAAATACCAGGATGTTGCAATATAACAGCTTCAACCTGTGTCCTTAAACTCATCAATAGTAAGCAGCAAATGAAAATGTGATTCCTAAGTGTGCATATCATGTATATATCCTCCAATCTGTTTGTTTGATGCTCCATTGTTCATGTACCTACCTTGTATTTGTAGAATTCAGGACATAAAAGGAAGTAAATGTTTGTGTAAGTTGCTCCTTGCATTTGTTACTTAAACGACGAATACGCACGACAAAATCCGGGATTTCATTTTATCAAAATTGAATAGGAAAGAACAGAAGATAGAACTGGTTAGTGATGGTTACCTCTTCAGGATAGATATTCTCTCCCCGCTCTTGATTCTACTGCCGTTGCGACCTATAAGCCAAAGGTTACCACAATCATCTGTCTGTCCTATATCACCGGTGTCAAACCAACCTTCATCAGCTGGGGAGGAAGACTTGCTTGGAATTTGACCCCAGTATCCAAGCATTACATGGGGGCCCCTAGTTAATATCTTCCCCACTTGAGAAGAACCATTGGAACTGATTCTTAGTTCTACATGTGGTGCAGGCTTTCCAACACAAACTCCAGCAAATTGCTGAACTGAATCGGAAGTTTTACTATCTGTCATTTGATGGTGCTGATTATAGCTCCAATGGTTGGATCATAAAGGGTCATGAAGGTTAAAGAAGAACATGCCTCTGTCATCCCTTTAGAAGCACAATTACCAGACAATCAGGGATCATGACTAGTTCAAGAGAGAGTTGTTACATGGCAATTTAAAAGGTGACAGAAAGCAAAACTGATGCAACCGACCAAGGACAGATGGACCAAATATTATTCGAAGATAAATTAAGCTCAGTGGAAGCAAAGTCATACATTAATATACCTCAAACTTCAATAAATAGGATTATAGCAGACAGACCTACAATGTTCAGTTTCAAATGCTTTTTCGTATTGGAGCTGTTTTCCAATTTGAGAATACATAACTAGGAAGGACATATTGTGATTGTGAGACTCACCATAAGCTGAAACTAGTTTAGCTCTTGGGAAAACTTTGACGGCACCTTCAAGAAGTCCTGGTAAAAGACCTCCAGCTCCATTTAATATTTTGTTGACTGTCTCAAAATTCTTGGTAGTTTGAGTTGTCCTGAAGAAAGCTTTAAAGTGAACTTAGTGAGAAATGAAATAGATGAGATTAGACTGATTATGTAGGGAGAGAAAAACAGTTGTACATAAATAAGCAGCTATGTAAAGATCTAACAAACTTATGTAGCAAGACATATCCAGCATTTGACACAATCATTTTACTGAAGGAAAAATTGTGCGGTTCTACTAAGTGCAGCATACTTGACACCTAGAAAAGTTACAATACATCACTGTCTATCTTTATGTGAAAGCGAACCAGAACAATTTTTTCTCCTCTACCCTCTATCAGCATTGAACAGGCGATTCCTAGGAATCCATGCATTTTCTGTTACCCTGACAGAAGATTCCAAACGGATGGGTGCTTAATCGTAACTTCACAATTTAGGGGGAAGTAGTTTACCTAGCTGAAGAGATTAAATCAGCCATCATAGCTGGTACCGTGATAAATGAGGTAACGTGGTGTTGTTCTATGACTCTAATTGCTGACTTGACTTCGAATTTGGGTATAAAACATGGCAACCTCCAACCATCAGCATTGCCAGAGCTGAAGATATCCCTCCGATGTGGCACAAAGGCGATGTATGCAGATAAATCTGTAAAATACAACGTAAAAAGAAGCCAATAATCAAGAAATGAAATGATTAAAAGAGCCCTTTCTTTCTGCTCCTGTATCTCTTCTATTGCTTATGATTGTAGTTGTCTGCAAGAAATGAAGAAAACAAGAGCAAGAGATGATCAAAAGAAGGGCGTACATCATCCTCACTATAACCAACAAGCGCTAATTTAGCCAGGGATTGTACAATCAAAGCTGAATGGCTTAGCATGACGCCCTTTTGGCCTTCCAGATGTCCTATTTTAATCCAAAAGGGAACGGGAGAAAGGGGAAGCGTGAAACACATTAGTAGATGAATCTGAGTCAGAAAATAACTCCATACACGTACAGGTAATGCTCAAAATATAATTTTTATCACCCTTAGCAGAAAAATTCTTGCCTCCGTTACTAGTTCAATATTTTCAAGATCAATATAAGAATGTGCAGACATTCACTATTTCACTCATCTGTTTAACGACCGTAAATTGTTATTGAATTTCATCTATACACACGAGTAGAAGAACTCATGTATGCTTCCTGAAGGCCAAACATACCTGAGGTAAAGCATAGCAGAGCTGCATTATTAGGTGCGCATAAAAGCCTGGCCGAGTTCAGAGAACTGGACTTCAACAATTCTGTTTGTCAAAAACTGCTGCAAAAGGTTTTTCCAGGATAAGGTTTCAGATGCTGAGGATTAAAGAATAAACATGGGAGGCCTTGCATTATTTAAGTAATTTTAGATACAAACAAGTGTCAATACCATCACCGTGGCTGCTGAAGTTAGACGGTCATAGAAACATGCCACCTTAAGTCAGTCTGCAATTTGAAGTGCCAGTAATCATGGGTTTTATCAGTCACCAACATTATAGCTTCACTTCATTCATTGCCAATCTTGCCTCCTGTAAGCTCTGCTTGAAGCAAAAGGCATAACTTATAGTAGTCTAGTAAAAATCTACCAGAAAGAACGAATTGGCCGAGTCGTCATCAGAACGAACCCTCCGAATAGATACCAGGACGAGATGACTCCAAGATACTTAACTCGCCGAGAACTCAGCCGAGTCGCCGAGAATTCGGCCGAGAAGTCTCCGATATGGATAGTCTCAGCCTAGTCGGCCCAAGTCATCCCGAGTTAACTCGCAAATTTAACATTTTACAGATTTTCTTTTGCTAATTTTTTATTATTATTGTTTAGCATATTTTTGAATATTATTCACAATATTTAGAATATTAAATACTTCAAAATTTGCGTTTCACCGAAACCGTGACCAATAAATGAGATCGATGTGGAACGATCCAAATCGCGACCGCGACTTTGAACCATGGACTTACAGCTCACAACTTAAAAGAACCAATCAAGTTTGTACAACTTATAGTCATCTATGCTGCTGAGTGGAGAACGTGAACTTCAGAGTGGTTCGATCATCCCCTTTCTAGATTGTGAATTCTTCTCTCAATAGTCAAATAGTTAAGAGCAACTAAATTATAATCATTGCCTTCTCCATTAAACTTCATTGGATTCGTTTGTCAATCATTTTCAAAGTGAACGAGGCAATGGAGTCAGAAAGAAAGTAAAAAGTGAGTAAAGATCACCAGGAAACTGACCCAGCGGTAGTTGAAAGGAGCTGCTATCCCTCCTGCATATGTAACCGCCAGTAACCACTCCAAATATGAATCACTGAAAGGAAAAGATTGATTCCTAAGTAGTAGACACATGATGCATTTCATTCTGAGTCCTAGCTGATCATATGAAAAGTTAGCTAGCATTCATGCTTGATGAACAACAATTTTCCCAAATTCTATGTGTAATTTTGTATGTGCCCTCTTGGTTTTAGTCAGGCGTTCTTGTTAAATGCAAAATGCTGATTAAAAGAACAATAATTTCACATCAGGATCCTCCAACTGCTGACTAATGATACTTTTTACACGGTTTAATTCCTTTTCCACGTCCAACGATACTTATAATTTGACACTTAATTTGGATAGCAAGAAACATGATTACAGACTTTATACAAATTTAACAAAAAAAAAAAAAAGAAAGAATGTGAATCTTGTTTCTTGTTTATCAAAAGTTTTAGGGAGCGAATTGATACAATCGAAAGTCGTGGAGGCAAATTAGGAATGGATAATGAGTGGAATGTGCGAGACCAATCTGATAGTGGTACATGACTCTCCTAGGATTCACGGCGGGTGTGTTTGAACAGGAATTATTAGTCAAAATATTGCTTGCTTGCATCACAAACACATTTTTTAATATAATTTTTTTAAATTTCAATCACTTGCTCATTTTGTAAAATTATATATCAGATTAGCTTAGTAAATTTTTTTTCCAGAACTAATTAGTTGTTATTACGTCTATCATTTCTGTTACATAATTCAGGAGCAAATTATTTGGATAGTCACTAAATTTTTTGAATAGTAGAGGGTTGACCATTCAACTTCTAAGAGTACATAATTACCCAATAAATTGTCAAAAGTGTAAATTTTATGTCATTTTACATATTTCCACGGTTAAATTTGCCAAATTTGGTTATATCTTGTGACTCGTGTATGTAATTACCCGCTAAATTGTTAAAAGTGTAAATTTTAGGTCATTTTATCTATTTTCACCGTTAAATTTGCCAAATCTAGTTATATCTCGTAACTCGTATGATCCTTAAATCTAGTAAATTTAACAGTGAAAATAGACGAAATTGCTCAAAATTTATGTTTCTGGTAGTTTAGTAGATAAATATATACTTTTAAAAATTGAGTAGTCAAAACTCTATAATTTAAAAAGTTCAGTGACTTTTCGGATAATTAACATATATGGGTGGGAGCATCCAGACCACAAATTCAGATTCCTAAGATAAAACTTGTTTACCAGCGCGGTACGGCTAAACCCACGTCCGACGATGAGAAATGATCATGCAACTATGCAAGAAACGAGCAGACGAAGAGCAGAGAAGAGGAGAAGAGAACCTGTTGAGGCAGCAATGGCGACGACGTGGCCGGGCTTGAGGCCCAGTTGGAGAAGCCCGTCGGCCAATCTCAGCACTCCCTCCGCGAACTGCACGCCGGTTTTTCTACAGTCACCTTCTTCTGCGGCGGCGACGTTAATCATGACTGTTGAGTTTCGCCTGAGAGTCATCAGACGGCTGAGGCACTGGCAAATGTGGGCATCTGAGTAATTACCCATCTTTTGGAAGATGGTACTAACTAATGTATATGGAACTAAAAAGGAAGTTTGAAGTTTGCTGGGAATTGGAATGGTTTCCTTTCCTCCTCTTCAGTCTTCAGAGGAGCTTACATATTTAATGGGAAGAAGAACAGAAGAGATGTAGAATGTTTAAGATTCTATTCAAAATTTAACAATTTGGTCAACAAAAAAATAATAATAATGGTAGTAATGAACTGAAGATGAACTGATATATTGATTGTGTTTCAAGATGCAATTGCAAATGCAGACTAATACCAGTGCAGCTTTCTTTCAATTGCATCATAGCTCATGCCATATGCCACACCTATATTGACTAGCAAGAGATGCAACCTGTTTTGATGCTTGACTTTGAAAATCTTAATGCTCACTTGTTAACAAAAGAAAATAGTTTAGAAGTCAACCAAGTACAGATTGCGTTGCTTTAGAGGTTTTTTTTTTTTTTTTGGATATAAAATACCATGTTGATGACTTCAATGGATAGCCATAAAGATGTAATTTAGAAAAGGAAAACGAAGAGAAGGTGCTGCATGTGATATCTGTGCTGTGCTGCTTGACATTGTCATACTTGGCGTGTTGTATTAATACCAATCACGGATTATCAAGTAATTGTGGTGAATTATACCTAATTTAGTAAATACTGAACGAGGAGTAGCCACAGCTTAGAAGGTAACTTTGTTAAGTAAAAAGAAGGTAACTAGTCAATTGGATGACAAGTGTTTCTAATCAATAGAAAATCAACAGGATTTATATTTGGATCCTTCAGCAGAAACTATATTTACAAAATCCCATAACATGCAGACCACGTAAACTCTTGAAAAGAAAATATGCTCGATTGGAAATGATTTCATAGTTAATCACCAGCCTTTGGGCTGGTGGCCACCATGCTTGGTGGGGGTGGGAGGCAAGGGCAATTGCCTTCCACCAATTGCTACATTAAAAGTGGATTTGCTTAAAAACAAATTCAGGTGAATGCATAGTGCATCTGTCTGGTTCGATGGTAGTTAAATCCCCTTCGGATTACCCTAGAATAGATTAGGTTATTCAACAATTATCGTCTCCAAAACAAAAAAAAAGGAAATGATTCCATAGATGGTTCGGATGAATCTTGAGAAACTCATATGCTGTGCAACTTTAGATGTATGTCGCCAGAGTAACAAGAATATGGTATGAATCTAAGTACGTGGTGCAAAAATCTCAAGATCCCAAAATGGAGAAAATTTAGCATAGTAAAGGTGGAAGATTGACATATCACATGCTACATCATGCTAAGATCAAACTGACCAAGTCTTTTATGATATACAAGTACAACCACATCCTAAAGACGACTAATTTACTTGTTAAAAACCGATTTGTCCAAATAGGCATCTACTTCTCTCATTTTCTTCCACTACTTCAATGCGTTGCTCTTTTCTTTTTGTTTCAAATCTCATTCTAATCCAGAGATTTGACCTTGCATTTGGTGCCAATGTCATCTTAGAGGCTTTTCTTGTGTTTATTATTCGTGAAGGCTTTACTCAGCCCGCAAGTAATTGTTGAATTCAATGTTAAAAATCGGAGCATAGGGGAATAGTAGTACAGCGCAGTCGCCACCATTGGCTGCTGAGCCTCAAGTCAACTGACACATTTGCAGCTTCATGTTCAAAAACATCACAATTCACCAGCTAGCCTTATTATATTCTATGCATATTCAAGATAAACTGCTTGAGGCAGGATTGGCATCCATAACTTCTGGTTCATTGCATGAGTCATGATGCAGGCATCAATATATATACAAAATAGACGATGACAACATTCTCAAATCTCTAGCATCACCATGCATGATCCATGCTACCCGCTCTCAACCCTCTGGAATTTTGGTAATTGCTATAATAATTAACCAACCTGTTGCACAATCTGCTGCATTCTATGGAGCACAATGACTATGGTGCTATTGCAATCAAGCAAACATGCAGGGAGAATTCTTCCTTCTCTTCCCAGTTCCATTTTTTCCCATCAAATAATTCTGAGAACAGGCAACCTGAACAGGAGTTCCATCACAGTTGTACGAATAATTGGGGTCTAATTTTCAGAAACAGCAGCCATGATGATTGACATCAACCTAATTGGCGATGTAAAGAAAATGGTTCAACATTGAGCGTTGAAACATTTATGGCAGTATTTTATACAATTTAGACCAAGACAGGGACAAAATATTCAAACAGTCAAACCTAATTTTAAATGAAATGCAAATTCCTAACTTGTTTGCAGTATGCTACCAAAACTTCTGACTGCTGAATTTAGAGTAGCATCATTCTTTAATGGGTTTCTGCAATGCCGTCTTTATGCTCCAAGGTAGACTTGATCACACATAACAACAGATTGAGATGTCAGTTTGACTTTTGACCTTCCCAAAGAAACACTACACCGAAGATCTACAGGCCACACTAAAAATTGTAAAGTACACTGTTCATCCACATCTTGACGCTATTGTTCTTCAAAAGCTGAAGGCAAACCACAAGTGGATTATAGCAAGTATGACTCCACAACAGTTCGCCCAAACTTCTCTTGGACATCTTTTGGAGTTTCAATCTGGGAAAAAAATGGAGACAAAGAACAGAATGCAAGTCAAGGATATATGTCAACATATCTAACTGATAAGAATGAACAAGTATACATGAAAAGAAAAGTAACAGATTCTACTTACTGCATTAAGAGCCTTGAAAAGTGCTTTACTGTGTTATGAGGATTTCTTGAGCCAACCACCTACAAGAGGATTGAAATCAAAATTCCAGCCTATTAAGTTAAAACAGCATCCCAATGAAGATACAAACAGCCTGGTGATACCTTTGACTTCACATTCTTGTAACCAGCCAAGTTCAAAATTGTCTGAACAGTTCTGCCGGCTTTCATTCCTGTTCTTGTGGAGGCAGGCCAAAGATACACCTGAGAAAAATCACTCTAATTAGTCAAGCAATCCACATATGACTAAGGACAAATGAAGAAATGGAGATGATATACATTCTTCACGTCAATTATGACAACTCAAAAAATAAAAGAAATCAACAGTCATTGGTACCTTGGTCTTTTTATATGATGTTTGAACAGCATGTGCAATTGTGTGCTCCTCATGTCGTTCTACATAGTGGAGATTCTGGAAGCACTTCTCATACGCCTGTTGGACAAAAGAATCAGAAAGAACAAGAGAGCTGAAGTGTTTTATGCATCAAAATCATTCACTTCTGTAATTCATCAAGAACAGATTCATTCAATGACAGCATTAGATAACAAAGAAACAAGATCCGGGCAAAGGCAACATCTCCTGTTTTACAGTTTTAGTTGGGACTAAATATTTGAAATCGTATCCTTGTCTTTATCTCTTTTTCCAATCTTTTTTACCTTTTCGATACCAATTAAGGAACCCACATAAAGAAACCTCCTCCTTCTTACAACGCTAGCAAGAAGCAAAGGAAGTTAAATGAGGATAAGATAGCATTGTTAACAGGAGGTCCAAACATGACAGCACTTAGCACATTAAATGGCCATTTATTAAACCTAAAATAAGAAAATGTCATTGGTAACATAATCCTTAACCAAGCATGCATCCCTAAACTGAGATAATAATCAAACAGCTCCACAGTAAAATCCAAAGTTTTTTGTTGTTTTTTTTTTTTTTGTGGGGGGTTTTGGTTGGGGGGGGGGGGAGGATGGATTAAAATCCAATGGTGAAACTACAATCTAGTAAATTCTACAAGTGATATGTTATGTGGGTGGTTATTAGTAATTGTTCAATATCAATGACTTGCAAGAAACCAGAAAAAGGAAAGCCAACTACAGTGTAAACCTCCTTGCAAGTTTAGATTGGATCATAAAAACAACTCAATTAAGTTCCTCCCACTTCAACCTATAAGATTAGACCAATTCACATTTTACACTTGTCTTGCTTTCAGGACTAGCTGTGTCTTCCAATCTCATTAGCATTTTGGATCATCTTTTTCTAGACAATCACCTTTCAATCAATGATGTAAGTTCAGAAAGAAACTACACTGTTCAATCTCCATTTTGTGTTATCTTGCAGACCCCCATCTGGTATTTTTCTATACTCCATGTTAACTAAACTTTTTTCACATAAGAAGCATCAATTCCTGAAACCACAAATTAAGGTAGGTTTAGACGCTATCACATGTCAGTACCTTTTGAAGGGCAATGGGAATTGCTGGACCTTTTGCTTTGGCAAAACCAACAACTCCATGATAGTTCCCACAAGCTAGCATGGCAGTGTACTTGACAACTTGTCCCCCCTGAATCATACAAAGTTGAGATCATTTCGAAGTCTTTTGCAAGAAAAAAAATAGCAAAACAAAAAACAGTAGGCAGGCTCTCTTACCTTAGTAACTTTGCAGGTTCTGTTCACATCAATAAGTCTAACATCAAAACCCTGCAATTGTTATTTGTCAAGTTAAAACGAAAATTCAACAGAATAAACTTGTAGCGGCAACTAAACATCCAAATTTTTATTTCAAACAGAGTTATATGAGTGAGTGTCAAACTAAAACAGAAACTTGCACAAGGATCAAAAATTAAGTTGAAATAAAAGAAAATTTAACAAAGCATTGTTCATTAATGGAGGAAAAGTGAATAATGAAATTCAAACACCATGGCACAGGAAGTATCTACTCCAGTTTTAGCTGTGTGGCTTGAGCAGACCTTCGGTCAGTTAGGTAGAGAGGTTACAAGAAATTTAGCCTTCTATATCATTTGCTGAGTAATGAATATATGTATATATATATATATATATATATATATATATATATGTCAGAAACAGTTAAAGAAAACAGAACCACCATTATCCAGGCCTAGAGTCCTTGCTAAGGATTAAATCTAATCCGTGCAGCCACAACCAAATCAATCAGTATAGGTATGTGATATGGTACATAACGCCCTGCTCAACAAGTTATACAAAAAAGCACGAAATTTCCTACATTAAGGGCTCAAGGCTAGGTAAAAGGGAGAAGACCATTTGGAATGATTACCTAAAATTTGATGTCACATATAAGATAATAGCAAGAAGTTTACTGATGCATAGCTACAGAGCAGAGGAAACTTCCAAAGCACAAGATATTATCTAATCATTCTCTAAATTTCAGATATAAGCTCTCAAAGTCTGTCCTGCTACAGTTAATCAATCATTTTTTACAAGAAACAGAGATTGTGAGGATGGCTAACACTTTTCAGTATCCAGACTAACATCACAAGTAGACATAAAATGGGGAAAGGGACAAAAGTACTCTGATGACAAAAACAAAACAATATATGCAAGCAACTTGAGATAGTCAATGTAGTTGCACAAAGTTTGAAAAGCAAAGCAGATCATCAACTGTTGACATCAAAGATCCAAGAATTA